CTTTATATCACCCTCATTTTTTGTTCTATTTGTTCAAGCCTTGAAAGATGGTTTTCTACCACCTTTTCACATATCTTTTCGTCTCGAATCTTCAAATCAAACTCTTGAAGGAGCAGTATCCATCGAATCAACCGAGGCTTCGCATCCCTCTTAGACATCAAATATTTTAGGGCTGCACGATCTGTGTAGGCAATTACCTTCTGTCCCATGAGATATGATATGAAATTATTGATGGCAAACACAATGGCCAGTAGCTCCTTTTCTACGGTTGTATAATTCAGCTGTGCTTTTGTCAAAGTCTTGCTCACGTAGTAGATTACATGGAGAATTTTATTCTTTTTTGACCCAGTATTATCCCCATTACATAATCACTAGTGTCGCTCATCAACTCGAATGGCAGGTCCCAATCTATTCAACCATAACTGGTGTGAAAAATTAACTTTTATTTCAGAGTGTTGAAGGCTATCAAACACTCTTCAAAAAAAGTTGAATGGTGTGTTTTTTTCAAGCAAGTTACAATGCGATTTGTGATTTTAGAGAAATCTTTAATAAAATTCCAGTAGAACCCTACATGGCCAAGGAACCTACGTACTCCCTAAACTGAAGTTAGTGGAGGAAGCTTCTCTATCACCTGAATCTTTGCTTTATCCACTTCGTAACCATATGCTAAAATCATGTGCCCAAGCACTATTCCTTCATGCACCATGAAGTAGCACTTCTCCCAATTTAGTACCAAATTCATTTCCTCACATCGCTGCAGGACCATTCCCAAATTTGAGAGATAATTCTCAAATGATGAACCGAACATTGAAAAGTCATTCATGAAGACTTCAATAATTTTTTCTACCATATCTTAAAAGATTACCATCATACATCTCTAAAATGTGATGGGGACATTATACAACCCGAATGTCATCCTTCCGTATGTAAAAGTATCATTGGAGCATGTAAATGTGGTCTTCTCCTGATCTTTTGGAACCACTCCAATCAGATTGTAACCCAAGTACCCATCCAAGAAACAGTAATATGAATGCCTAGCTAATCTTTCCAACATCTGGTCGATAAAGGGTAAGGAAAAGTGATCTTTTCTAGTTGCATTGTTCAGTTTCCTATAGTCTATGCATACTCTCCATACTGGTCTTATCGGTATCAGCTCACTATTATCATTCTTTACTGTCGTAATATATCATTTCTTTGGAACAACAGGGATTGGACTAACCTACTTGCTATCAGAGATCGAATAGATGATGCTTGCATCAAGGAGTTTCAATACCTCTACTCGCACGACGTCCTTCATGGCGGGGTTCAATCTGCGCTGATTTTCCACTGTTGGCTAATATTCTTCCTCCATCAAAATTTTGTGCATGCATATCGATGGACTAATACCTCTGATGTCTGTTATAGACCACCTAATAGCTGTTTTGTGTTCTCGTAGTAATCTCTGTTCTTCCAACTCGGTCATCTCATTTGCAATAATCACGGGAAGTGTAGATGACTCTCCTAAATAAGCATACCTTAGATGTGATGGCAATTACTTAAGCTCAAGAATTGGTGCTTTCTAGACAAAAGGTAGCGATTTACTAGGTCCTTAACCAAGTTCCTCAAACTGTCTTCTCCCGATGGGTGGAGCAAACTCCATAATGTAGGCAATCTAACTTATCTCTTCAACTATTGATTTTTTATCTCGCGAGTGCACAAGAATATTCTCCAAGTGGTCTTGAGGGTGCTCAAGAATGAAAGTCTCTTCCACTGCAAAATCCACCATATCAATACGCAGACAACTTTTGACTCTATAGGATACTTGATAGCACTGAAAATGTTGAATGTCACTTGCTCATCATTTAATCGCAACATCAATTGTCCTTTCCGAACATTTGTTAAGGCTCGATATGTTGCAAGGAACAATCTTCCCAATATCAATAGCATGTCTTTATCCTCTTCAGCCATGTCCAGAATGACGAAATCCACAGGATAGATAAATTTATCGATCTTTACCAGAATGTCTTCAATAATTCCACTGGGAAATTTTATGGACCTGTATGCTAGCTGTAATGATTGATGTTGATTTTGCCTCCCAAAGTTTAGTTTCTTGAAAATAGAGTAAGGCATAAGGATAATGCTAGCACCTAAATCACAGATAACCTTATCAAATTTCATGTTACCAATAGTGCAAGGGATAGTAAAACTTCCTAGGTCCTTTAGTTTAGGTGGCAACTTATTCTGTAAGATGGCACTTCATTCTTCATTCAGCATCACGGTCCTTTAGTTTAGTGAAATTCAAAATGTAAGACCTCATCTTGAAAGGGTTAATTTCACCAATGGTCATCCAACTTTATATTTAGTGTCATCACGACGCTAAATATGATTTTATTTCATCATGGCTGCCAAACTTTATATTTTATTTCACCATGGCTGCCATTTTAACTTTTTAAAAATTAGAGAAAAGAAGTTTGGTAGTCATGATGAAATGTTATATGAAATTGAGTGACCATGGTGAAATAAAATCAAATTTGGTAGCCATGATGACTCTAAGTATAAAGTTAGGTGGTCATAGTAAGACAAAATCAAATTAAGTGATTATGGTGACACTAATTATAAAATTATGTGACCATTGATGAATTTAACTCTATCTTGAAAACATTGTGCCGGGGGGCCATTAGTGAATTTAACTCTATCTTGAAAACACTGAGCCCTTGTATGTCTCCAATTTTTTCAAAACTACTTTTTTCTCAAACTTATTTTTTAACACACATTTACACAATAAAATATTTTATATGTAAATCCAAAATTTTTATATATTTTAATTACATATTCTCAAAAAATCAATATTTCAAAAATCATTTTCCCCAAAAACTGGTCAAAAGAGGAGACAAACAGAGGCTAAACAAGGTGAAAATAGAGTTAAATTAAATGCATCTTGATTAATAGTGCCCTAATACTGTATCCATTTTTTTGTAAATTCAGGTTCAACTAATGTCGCATTCCGAAGTTCTTATTGCTAATTGCTAGTCTCTCATTGTTTTAACTACCGTTTTCTGAATGAAAAAAAATAAAAAAGAAAATAATAATAATAGTAAAAATAAAGGTGTTATTTTTTATAACTCTGCTGAACCGAGAACATGCTAATCGAATTAATTTTATCAAAGCCAACATATGTGGAACAAAATTTACTGCTACTACAAAACAATTTTTTCTTTTTTCTTTTTTTTCTGTACACGTTTACTTTAATGAATTCACCTTCTTCTTCTTCTTTTTTGAATTCACTCAAGTATTACCGGAATGTGAATGTCAAGTAAACCTTTAAGAATCCTAGTACTGATATAATTCTAAATTTACCGCATTTCTTCATTTTATCAACGAAAGTGGCGAAAATTGACAAAACCAACCAAGGTCGAACCAATTGACGAGCTATAAATTGGATTCATAAAACTTCACCGATATAAGTTCGATCTATCGATAATTTAAAGTCAATGTGAAATTACAAAAAGAAAAAGTTAAGGCATTATATGTCTTAATTACAATTCGCTCCATATCAAACGAATTCTTTCCCGGGATGTGGTTCAGGGTCTTCTTCTCCATTATCTATAACCAATTTGAATTTTGACAACTTGTTTTTGAAACCAGACGTCACCATATTCACTCCAAGTAGCTGTGGAAAATGATTTTCATCCATTGCCATCTTCTTCTTCTCACTATTGAAAAGACTTCTCAAACGACCTTGGATTTCAACCGGTGTACCGATCCCTCACAACAAAGGGAGGCCCACAATGAATAAAAAAATCATGGACCCCCCTATTGTGAGGGGTTCGGTCAACCCCCGTGTACGAGTAGTATGGTTCAATTACCTTCTATTTTGTGACTTCCACTGCTATATATGTATATAATTTTACTGTATGTATATAATTTTACCGTCGGAGTGGCTTAACCTTGTAGAATGCAATATTCCCGTAATGATCTTCAGTCGGAAAAATTCAAATGCAATATTCTTATTTGAGTTTGTCGATCTTGCCACTTTTTCATTTTTTCCTTGTGATGCTTGGAATTCTGATAGGCCTTTAAGCGGAACTTTCAAATATCTTTCAATTTAAGGTCTTAACGTTCAATAGGACACTTTCCCAAACACGAAACAATATGGAGATGTGCTAAACAGAGCTTTGAATACCGTGCAACATGCCCTTAGGGCATCATCCAATTTCTTTGATCAATCTTTAATTAAAGAATTCACGTTTAGTTAAAGAATAAGTTTTAACTCATTGATTTCAAATTTTCAATGTAGTTGAAGATGATATGGATCATTTTGCGGTGGCGTATACAATATTTATATAAGTTTCGCTCCATTTTGTCGAACGAAACCATAATATTAGAAACCGTTAGTAAAACACATGAGAGTGAGTTTCTAAAGCATAACTTCTGAACCAATGAACACATAACATGTAAAATGACAAATAACACTTGAGTACATAATTGTTAGTTATAAACCTATCACTAGATGATTGCCACTTGTTATTTTTTAAATAACCTAATTGCCTCTTAAGCCTAGGAGGAAATCTATAAATACTTCCTCGTAAGATGGGAAAGACTTGCAAATTCTAATATCTCCCTCCCAAATAGTCATTTTGCTCTTGCTCTTGTTTGAATATCAAAATTAGAGTGTAAGAGGAGAAAATCCTGGTTAAGTAACAGGAATATGTTGATTACAATTTTGCATTCAATAAATTGGCGTCATCTATGGAAACCAGAGCAAAGAAAACCAAGAATCTATCCCTTCGAGTTGAAAAATCACTGAAAACTACAGAAAAGATTCGAGTGAAAGTAAGCCTAGAGGAGGTAGAAGCATTGGAGGTTGGAAGTAAAGAGACCAATGAAATTGGTTTTTGAGGGGGAAAAATCCTAAAATGATAAATCCGTTGTCTGCATGAATGAACTTTTCCCCAAATAAATTACTAGGGAATGTGGTGTAATATCTTAATTAGGTGAGAATGGGAAGTAACTAAGCAATCTACAATCAAATGTATGCTGCAATATAAAAAACTTAAAGAAGATATATCCTTGCAGTCATCTACATTTTCGAATACTTCGCTGTTGACCAAGAATTTTAGAGTTTCTAGGCATGCGTCAAATTTATATGTTGAACAAACCGTAGCATCCGTTTAGAAATAAGCATAAGAATCGAAAGCATAGCTATATGAATCACCTAAGATGATTAAAGACATCATGAGGAGGTAAGACGAGAAAGAGAAACAATTATTGCCTCCTATCAAGAGAGCAGTGTTCATTTACCGAGTTCGTGCTCGCTTCCAAAGCTTGACCCACTCAACCATATTTTCAGCAGCACGAGCAAAAACAGGATTTGCCGGTGCCAGTTGCTCTTTCACCGTTGCAGCAATCTCAGAGACACAATCCTCTGCAGTACCTGCCGATGTAGACAACCTCAATGATTGAAAGAAAGGAATGACATCCTCCATCAACTTGACCCCTTCCCACTCTTTCTTCAGACTCTCAATGGCATTGCCTCGTTCCTTTCGCCACACGTATGGAAGCCCACTCTTCACACCGAGTCTCAGATGATCACAGACAACCTTAACACACATCCCTGTCCATATGTCTTCTACTGTTTCCCACCTTAGGTTTCCTTCCTTTGCCAGCCTAAATGCCGGTACTAAAGCAGGCCCCACCAACTCACGGTTGAAACCTATGTTGATCCCACTCACAGGCATCATGGTCCTTGCCGGTACAGTAAGTACAGCATCAACATACCTATTGTTTCTTAGCTCTGGCTTGAGGGCCTGTGTAGGTGCATCAAGATCGGCTAAATTTAGCCACAGCCCACATGACAGACCACAATCCACACCACTTCTCAAGCTAAATGGGTAGCCACGAACAAAATCAGCCCCCTCGCAGAAAGGGTCGTAGAGTGTATTGAAGAAAAAAGGTGTAGCTGGGGTTGAAAGGTTGATGATCTGCTGAGCAACAGCATCAACAAAGTTCCCAGCACTATCTTTAGCTGGGATGCAGTCATCATCAATAGCAATAATGTATTTCTTTTGGGACATAAGATAGCCAAAGTACCGGCAACAATAGCCAGAAAAAGATATAGCATTTGACAACGAGCCCAGAAAACCATCTATATCAGACTTCGTATAGAGATCAAAATTAAATCCTGCTGGAATCTTAAGTTTTCCTTTCAGGTCAGGATCTTGGACAATTATTAAATTGAATTGGGAGAACACTGGTCTCCACTCTTCCATGAAAGATGTAAGATCTAACTGAAGGGCACCAATCACAATATCCACTTCATCACAGTTAATGCTGATTTCGGACATTTTTTAGGATTTTGATCAAGAAAAAAGAAGACAGTAAGATCAGGCTGTTCCTTAGAAGGGTACTTAGCAAAGACTCAGAATCACTAAAGAACAAACAGCATCAGAATTTCTCAGAGCATCCTGACAAGAATTAAGTAATTAGTAGAGAACAACAATACAAACTCAATTAGCATAATTCAATTACAGAATGACTCACGAGTGGGGAGGACAGGAATCAGAATGTGTTGGATATTAAGTTCCTCAATCACAGAACGGATTTCTTCTTTGCCAGTTGCTACAAACAGTTTTAAAATCCTCTCATTTAATTTACCGGCTTTCAAAGTTCTCTGGGGATCAAGAAAAAAGTTTGCATCAGTTTTTCAATAAACGATATATGGACATAAATAATAAAATCGTGTATTGTCCCAGGGCTGCAGAGGGGCATATAGCAGGATCTGTTGGTCTCCTGCTATGGATGTATTAAGCGATATTAATACTACTTATTGAAAAAGTTAGCACCTGATTGGTTATATTTTTGTTTCCATTTTTATATTAATATCTGTAAAGACCAAAAGAACATTAACATATATAGTAGTCAGAATAAAGACGTGGACATTCTAATAAAAGATCAAAAATGGTGATGAGTATGCTGTGGGCTAAAATTGCATATTAAAGCCACAACTGACTCAAGTAATATATTTCTAGAATTTTTACATAAAGTCATGACTTCTTCTATCCACAACCAGATGGTATAGTCCTGTAACATTCTCTTTTCTCCTCAACAAGCAACAGAATAATCCTTGCATGGTTCTAGACCAGATATTATCAAAAACCTTCATAAACAGTTTTCCAAATAAAAGCATTTCCTCTACAACTCAACATTCATAAATTGATTCTTTCTTAAATCTTTATCATCTTAAAATACAAGACCATGATTTCATCAATTCCACACGCCAAAAAGCATTCAATTTTCAGCCTAAAACAAACAAAGCTAGTATTGTTTCAATCAAGCAGCGATTCAATTATTTGGATTTGTTTGAGTCAAGACCACTCAAAAACTTGAAAACACGGATATTATTACATGCTCACTTCAGTTCATGCAACATGCTGACGCCAAAGATTCCCTTGAGATGCATTGATACCTTAAATGTGGATAAATGTTCCAATCTGATAGATGCATTTGAACCTTAACTTCTGAATGATATTTATTCAAAAAAAAAAAAAAAATTAGATAAATAATAATGAACTCAAGCAACACCACCGTGTTTATTTAGCTATTGGATCACTTAACTCGAAACCACGAATACAAACAAGTACTATAAATCACATTGTTAGAGAGATTGTAATACTAATTCAAATAATTTCGGACACACATTCACACCACAGATATTGAAGGAAGATCTAATCTGATAATCATATTTGAATAGGGATTTCCAAATGATATCTTAAGAGAAGAACTCAACACTTTCGACACCATGTCAATTCAGCTTAGTTCTGTTACTAGCTCAAAAACATTAACACCAAAGTATGTATTTTTTATTTTGCTTTGGCCAAGAGCTTGTTGATTAGATTTAGATTTTAGATTGGTCCAATACCAAGCAAAATTGTGTGCATTAAAAATCCACATTAGGATGTGTGAAACTTGTTAACAGCTTTATACACCCATTTAAGAGAATAGTAGTGGAATATTATCAAACTCAATTTAGAACGAGATCAGAAATTACAACCAATTAACCATCAATGATCTAGTTCACAGATCTTGACAGCATGCAACTAAAAAAATATTATCTTAATAAAGATTAAAGGATAGAACTTCACCAAACATGGTCATCTCGAGTAAATGCAACTTAACCAACTCAACATGGTGGCAGAGTTCAGGGACCTAAAAACCCTAAGCATAGGGAGAGATCTAGAGAGGGATTTGTTATTAAAAAAAAAAAAAAAAAGGAAATTCATAACTCTAAATTTTTTTCAATTAAAGCAACTAGTAAAACAAAGAAGATATACAGTGTCGTTTACTTTCATTTCCCAACAGAGGACAAAAAAATATTCAACTAAAACCCAAAACTTACATTGTTAATACTTCTAGTTACTAATTCCCTTTCTTATCGTTCTCTAATGGGTTAGAATAAATCTCCTATCTAAATATAAACATAACTAAAAGCACCAAAAATTATCAAAAACAAAATCCCAAATCACATCAAGATACATAAACAATTCATCAAACCAAGAAAAACCCAATTAAAATTAATCAAAAGGGCAAATAAAACTACAAAACAATCACATTCCTATATACTTATGCCCACAGTGATACATACATCCATATACAAAAGAAGAAGTCGGTCTGGGGATGTGAGGAGTTTAACGTACCGAGAAGAGCTCGAGAAGAATGTGTTCAGGGAGAAATGAAAGATCTGAAATGCTAGGCCAGTTATTAACAGCAGAGTCAATTGCGAGGGAAACAAGGCTGGGCGGGTTTCTCATTCATCGATCGTACTCTCTCCGATTCTTACTCCCCCTCACCCTCCCTCTCTCTTCCAATATAATAAGACAAGAACTGGTCAACTGATCCAGCTAATTATGAAATTCTATCGACAGATTATTCTCGAAGATCGCGCTATGTGCTCACCCTCCCCAAAGTTTTTCCCCTTCGCCGGCTCAGAATGTTATCATTTAACGAAAATGAATGTGATAATAGTGGTAATTGGCCTTTTGACCCGGCTGAGAGTTTTTGCTTTTTCTCCTTTGACAAGTTTTTTTCTATTTATAAAAAATAAATAAATGTTTATTTTCTATATTCCCTTTTTACCCTACATCCCTAAAGTTTAAAAAAATAAAAATAAAAAATGGAGTAAATTGTCCCAATGATCATTGAACTTATATCTATATCTTCGATTGTTCATTAAACTTTAACGGAAAATTCATTTGAAAAATTCAAATTTATTATGTGTTTCATGGTGAGTTCTTCGATTGTAAAATTCGATGTGTGAAGTTAATGGAACTAGGAATTTCAAATTGTGGCAACGAAGGGAGAATGACTTGTTGGTCCAGAAAAGGATGGTAAAAGCACTATTTGGAAAAAGGCCAAAGGATACGTCAAATGTCAATTGGGAAGAGCTCGAGGAGCAAGTAGTGGGGTACAATTCGGCTCTATTTAGCGGTCGAGATCATGTATCACGTCATGGGGTTGAATCATTGATAGGGTTTGGCTAAAATTGAAGTCGTTATATGTCGAAATCTCTCACAAACAAGCTGCATCTAAAGCGGCGACTGTATGAGCTCAATATGCTAGAGGGTACAAATCTGAATCAACACACCAATTTGTTCAATCAAATTATAAGCAATTTGTTGTGACTTGAAATCATGCTCGACGATGAAGTCGTGGCAATGATATTACTGTGCTCTCTTCCTCCTTCGTATGACCACTAGGTGAACACATTGACGTGGGGGATAAAAAGACTCAAATTGGAGGAAGTCACATTAGCCATGTTGGCCTACAACCAGCGAAAGATGCATACTGGCGAAAGGGTTTATCGTGAAGGGCTATAGGATCATGGGAGAAATAAGGATATAGGTTGTTTTTACGAAGGGAATACAAGATCGAGATCCAATAATCAAATAAGAAAACGTCAAGTGCTACAAGTGTAATCAGATGGGTTACTTTAAGAATGAATGTTTGAATAAGAAGCGGGGTGATGAAAGGAAATGTGATGGGTCCTTAAACTCAGCTAGTATCGTAGAAGGAGACTTGGATCCTAGAGATTGAGACATTCTATTAGTCTCTGTAAGTAATTTTGACAGATTACATGACTTCTAGGTACTTGATTCAGCCTGTTCATATCCCATTTGTCCTCATTGGGATTGGTCTGATTCATATCTTCAGGTAATTTAGATCTGTTCTGATAGGTAATGATGCATCATATAAAGTTATTAGAATGGAGTCTATAAAATTTAAAATGTTTGATGGTGTAGTGAGGACTTTGGAGGATGTTAGGAATATACCAGAGTTGAGAAAGATCCTAATTTCTTTAGGCACTTTAGACACCAGTGGCTATTCTTATAAGCAGGAGTGTGAAGCCTTGACGGTGAAGAAAAGTGCTATGATTGTGATGAAGGGTTAGAAAATTGGTAGGCAATATCTATAAACTACTGGGAAATACAGTTGTAAGTGAAGTTGCTATAGCAAAATCTAAGTTAAAAGACACTCTCCTATAGCTTATGAAATTGGGACATATAGGAGAATGTGGTATGATTAAGTTTTAACAAGAGGAATTTGTTGAAAAGAATAAAATCATGCAAGCTAGATTTCTGCAAGTTTTGTATACTTGAAAAATAATTCAAAGTACAGTTCAAGATGGAAAAACATAAGACAAATGACATTATTGATTATGTGCATTTTGATGTTTGGGCACCAGTGAGGGAGTTGTCTAAAGGTAGATCCCAATATTTCATTACTTCTTGTTGACTTCTCTAGAAAAGTTTGGGTGTATTTTATGAAGCATAAGTCTGAAATCTTTGCCAAGTTCAAATTATGCAAAGCAGAAGTAGAGAACCAAACAGACAGAAAAATTAAGTACCTTAGGACATACAATGGTACAGAGTACAAAAATTCACAGTTTTCTGAAATTCTGTGAGAAGCATAGTATTCAGAAACAATGTAGCAAGATAGTGTAGGGGAGAGGATGAACAGAATAATTACAGAATGGGCAAGATATTTGAGGTTGAATGTAGGGTTTCTGAAGAGTTTTTGGGATGAAGTATTGAACATGGCATGTTGTTTCATAAAGAAATTACAACGAGCAGTACTAGATGGGAAAGTTGCAAAGGAAGTTTGGACAGGTAATGTAGTTGATTATTCTGGATTGAGAGTATTTAGGTGTCCAGCTTATCTGCATGTATCTAGTGATTAGAGATTTAAGTAGGGTTGGACATGGTTCGATTTGGTTCGGTTCTACCGAAATTGTCAGATATTTAGTAAGTGGAACCGTCGGGCCCAAATTTAATTATGGAATCGTTCGAATTCGATTCCATTCGATTCGGTTCGGTTCAATTCTCATTAGAACCGAACCGATCCGAAATTGTCGGATATTTAGTAAGTGGAACCGTCGGGTCCAAATTTAATTATGGAACCGTTCGAATTCGATTCGGTTCGGTTCGGTTTCATTTGGTTCCGAAGTTTCGTATTATAATTAAATTTTTTAATATATATAAAGTTACATCAATTTAATTAATGATATGTTCAATCTTAGTTCTTATAAAATAACGTAATCTAATCTTATGTGTCTTTTACGTCTCTCTTTGTTGAGTTTTTCATAAATTTGATTATTAAAATCACAGGAAGAGAAAGATAGCGAACTCAAAATAATTAAGAGAGACGTTATAGAGCTTTAATTCAATTTTCTCCAATAGAAACGACACTACAGTAGAGTAACAAATTTGGATAAAATTGAGGTCAATTTGATTAAGTTGACTTTGAAGTGAAAATTAGAAATAGGAAAATCATATTTATTTATTATTATTTTTTAACTAAATTAACTAGTTAACAAATTTATTTAGAAAAAATAAAATCATTTTGCATATTTGAAATAAATTAATTAAAAAAATTAGGGAGATTCGATTCTTCGGGTCTTGGCCTAGAACCGAGAATCGAACCATACCCGTCGGTTCTCGATTCAAATACTTGTTCGGGTATTTAATTTGAGAAGAATTGTCGGGTTCGGTTCGAAAATTTTGTCTAGCCCTAGATTTAAGCTTGATCTGAAATCAAGAAAGTGCAATTTCTGGGCTATGTGAAACATGTAAAAGAGCACAAGTTTTGGGGTCCAGAGACAAAGAAGATGGTGAACAGTTGGAATGTAGTCTTTGATAAAGCATTCATATTTAAAGCTTCTCCAAATAAAGAAAAGCTCAATTTAGACGAGGGTAATAGCAAGAGCCAAGTGGTACAAATAGAGCTAAACAATGTTGATATAGAGATTAATGCTTAAGGAATGGACAATTCTGGCTCAGAAGATGAGTAGTATCGTAGTATTGCTACAGATAGACCACATCACACTACCAAGCCACTAATGAAGTATAGATTCGAGGATTCAGTCAGCAATAGTAATCCTATAACTTTTCAGGATGATGTTGGTAGTCAAAAGAAAAATAAATAGATAGAGACTATAATAGAGAAAATTGAGTCATTGCATAAAAATGATACTTATGATTTGCTAGAGCTTTCAAATGGGAAGAAAACGATAGAGTGTATGTAGGTATATAGAAAGAAAAATATTTCAGAAAATGAAGGAGAAAGATTATGATGAGATTTTTTTTGTCGTCATCAGGGACACTTCCATCAAGATTGTCTTGAAATGGTGGCCAATTTTGATTTAGAAGTAGAACAGTTGGTGTGAAAACTGCTTTTCTTCATGGTGCTCTGGAGGAGTAGATTATCATGGAGTAGCCAGAGGCTCTCTTGGAACTAGGAACAAAGAATCATGTGTATAAATTGAAGAAGTCTTTATATGGGCTTAAGCAGTCTCCGCAAAAATGGTACAAAAAGTTCAACTCTCACATGATTTAGATTGGCTACAGTAGTTATGGGTATGATTGTTGGGTTTATTACAGAGTTCTTGAAAATGATTCATATATTTTCTCGATATTTTATATGGATGAAATGCTAATTGCTACTCAGAATGTGAATGAGGTAGACAAACGATAGAGTGCACCGAGCGGTACAGGGGTATTTTATTGTCCAGACCCTAAAGTTTTGTATGGACTTGGATTTGAGTTAGTATAAATACTGATTATGTAACCCTAGAGATGGCAATGGGTTGAGTCGAGTCGGCTCGACCCTTAAACACACGAGCTTGACTCGTGCTTGTCACTAGCCGAGCCCACGAGTTCAATAATTTTTTGTTTTTTATTTTTTTGAAAAATTTCAAACTTTTCTTCACATTTTTTACGAGCCCACGAGCCGAACTCGTGGGCTCATGAACTTTTGGATCGTGGGCTTGCTCACAAGCTCGGCTCATTAGTTCCCATCCCTGCTCGGCTCATGCTCAAGCTCTTCATTTGACGAGCCCGAACCGCCCACGAGCCGAGCTGAGGAGCCGTTCGACCCGTTTGACATCTCTATGTGACCCCATTATTCATACTGAATAAAATTCACGCTTGGCTCCTTGTGAAATAGGCACATTTTCGAACTACTTTAAATACTTTTGTTAATTTTTCTCTTCCACTTCTCTATTATTGTGTATAAAATCTAACAACATTCCAAATTCATAACTTGTAGGCCTATTATATTTTGTGTTTTAAAAGAATGCACTTAATTACTTATTTCAATCAAATGGTAAAACATTTACATTCTTTTATTAATTAGCTTATATTTTATTTTTTCTTTTATCACATAAAGTTTATTATTTCATTCTATAAATCTCTTGTACATTTTTATATTATACTAATCATTATCTCAAATTCATAAATTGTTGGATTGTTGTCTTCTAAATTTTATAATGAGCCCACTTAATGACTCATCTTTATCAAACTCAGAAGATTACTCCAATTTCAAAGGAAGATGATACGGAGAGGAAGCAATGGGAAGACAACATACCAAAACCCAAACAAGATTCTATAAAGAAAGTAAATTTTTGAAATTTTTATTTATGGATCTTTTTTCATTTGATATATCATTGAAAAAATTCTTGTTTGTGGG